ATATTATATTGTGTTTGTTTACATGACACCTCTACTCTCTTTTAGCCTCAAGTTGCACTGCTGAGACTTTGACCACAAGTGGCATGACATCATCACACAGACGATCATGCAACAGACCCCGACATCTGTCAACAATATCATTATTTGGAGGCGGAGTTAGCATTTTGCAAAAGCATTGTTTGATAAAGGTGTGATATGCTTTTAAATGTTTAAGGAGGATTTAAGATCTCAGTAAATCAGAGATAAAAGACTAAATGATGCCTCAAGGATTTTAATTTTTTCCAAAAGGTTTTTTAAAAAAAACTGAATATGAAACAAACAAAAACAAACAAACAACGCAACAGTATCTAGAATCTAACAACATTCATTTTTGTAAAGAAAATAAAGATAAACATTCTCTTTTTATACTGACCTTGGATTTATCTATTGTTTAGGATGTTTTAATAGACGGACTTATAGACATTACCCAAAGGAGGTGAAAGTCTTTTACCTGCCAGCTCCCAGCTAAAAAACTATGTCATGTCTGATTGCACTGACGTGAGAACACTCCAAGTAATGGGGCACAGAATTCCTACCTTGCAGATATGCTGCCTCCAGCATGCTCACTCTAAACCAGGGAATACACGCAAGAGTGAGAATACTACTGATGCAGCTAGTCTCCTGCTGTGTGCTACATATGAGGAAGGACGAAAAAGGACACTGACTCTTCAAACATATTTAAACAGCTACAGACTGGAGAACACTCTTTATATGATGTAAAGATACCAAAACACAGGAAAGCCTGCTTTGCCCTCTTATGCATGCAACCTTGTCGCACTGGTGTGCAATGAGCTTGTGGTTGTCTTGCAGTCTAGCCTGGTTGCAAAATGTTTTCAGAATTAAGGAAACCATAAACCTCAAAAGACGTATACTGTGTGCTGTATGCGTGTATCACAAAATGGCATGCATATATCAGTCTGCAGATTTAGATATGTTGGGCAACAACATTATTCACATGACTTGAATGTTTTTTGAGTAGACCCAAGTCATCTAGTAAGTCATACATTTCTATCAATAGCCTCAGAATTGTTTCTCTTTCTTCTAAATCTTAAACTTAGTATTTCCCAGATCTTTGGGTAAAGCTTTGTAGTCCAGATCAAAGAAACTGGGCTTAATTTCAGTGCAAGTGAGAAGAGAAATTACAGTCAGCCTTGTGCCTGTAATCCATTTAGTTTTCGCCCTTGGCTCACTCTTTGTGTGTGGTCTTGACTCTTGCTCATTCTCCACAAATGTCCCAATTATACCACAGTATCAAAATCAGCCCTGTCCTTTTCTTTCATCTTTTCTTTCTTTTTTCTTTTGAGGAAAAGCAGCAGCAGCAGCAGCAGCAGCAGAAAGCTGTGATCCTGGTGTAACGGAAACCAGATTCACAGCACTCAACATGGCATATCAGAATAAATACCTCGTACCAACTGTCAACCTTGGTGGTGAAGAGGTGATGATTTAGGCTTGTTTTGCAGCCACAGTCACCAATTTTTGTAAAATTATTCTTCACAAATCTGATATAAGATCGGATTAGGAATGTCTGATAATTATCTGAATTTCTGCTAGTGTTTTCTCAAAGTGTGTAAAAAGCCTTTTGCTCTGTTATTTACAGGCAGTTTACTTTGTGGACACTGAAAACAACAAATTTGAAGCTGCCTGGAAGTTAAACAACGTTCCAATGTTAGCTGAAAGATTTAAATGGCAAACATATGTTTCTGATTATTTCGAGGAGTTTCCCTGAACTCTCATCATTGGTATGTTTATGTAATCGTAACTTCTATCTTCACATGAAAAAACATGAAGCAACTACCTCATTTTTATGAAATCTACTTTGCTTGACCAGCAACGAAGACAAATAGGCGTGAGCCTTAGTTGACAAAAACCAAACTGACCTCAGTTTGCTCAACTAAACTCAACAAACTTCTGTGTTTGTGTAAAATATGCCTTATTCGACTTCTGAAAACAAACCTGAGATTATTTACTGATGAAACTTAATCAGACCACATTCCTGGGTATTTTCTGCAGAAATACGCTCAGGTTATTTGTAATCTCAGACTTCTTTATTTTTAGTGACTGTAGAAGCCCTCTCAGTTTAGTTCAGACACCCTCCTTTTGTCCCTTTTGTTTCTATAGTAAGTTAATCATAATATCCATCATGGAAGTCTGTATACATACTAACAGCTTTGTGAAGTTGTAGTTACATGTTAACCAGTACTTAACTAGTGATACACTGTTATCAATGCAGATGTTTAAAATAACTAGCTGACTGCAGTTTCACTTTTTCTGTTTCTTGCTTTTGTTTTTGTTGGTATTTACTTTGTGATAATGAACTAAATAAACCTTCTTTAGATGAGCACAACTAATTGTTTAAAGTCTTTCAGCACTTAATCATGCTTATTTTGAACATTTCACAAAGACAAAACTGCCCTAAAACATTTCAACAAACAACTGCTCTTGCTAATGGTAAAACAACACTGCAGAAAGCAGTGTCACCTGAGTATGTTAGCACACAAACTAGCACTACTTACAGTAGACTGTAAGTGAGATGCACAAGGTCAGCAACAATACTGAGGTTTTGGGTGTTTAAATGATCCACGGGTTCAAAGTGCGCAAAGAAAATATGCCCCACACCCTTACACTACAGGCACTAGCCTGAACCTTTGTTACATGCCAAGATGGATCCATACTTTCATGTTGCTTACACTAAATTCTGACTCAGCCGAAAATCGCAGCAGAAACTGGGACTCATTAGATCAACATCCTATTGTCTAATTTGTCTAATCTGTTTCAGAGATGCTCTTCTGCAGATCAGCAGCTTCTACAATACTCAGACCAACAACCATGCTACATTCACAGTCACTTAAATCCCCATTCTTGCTCATTCAGCAGATCATCTTGACCATGTCTACATGCCTAAATGCATTAAGTTGAACAAGTGTCCCTAACAAAATGACCATAAAGTGTACATTAAACAATAAGTAGACATCTGAAGCGGTTTGTGCCACCAAAGATGAAGAAAGGTTTGGAGGTAACCAAAGACACTGGGATCCTCCTCTGGGCCATGTCAAAGCAGGACAGGATTTCCTTTCCTTTGCATTTATTTCAACTGTTGTTTTCATGAAACTGTGAAGGACATTTCCTTCTATTTCACCAGTTAAATACATAAACAGATTGGTTTGTCTCTACAAAATAAAGTCAGTTGTGTTTAAGACCTTGATTCAGTTTTGGTTAGTCCACTGCATCATGTTACCCTGCTGCACACTCACACTACGTGCTGTTCCACCCCCGTCTGATTTTCAGATTGGACTTTCTAATTATAGCTGCATAATTGTCTCAGGGCATAACGTCCTGGTAGGAGAGCAAAAAGAGAGAGCTGCAGAAAAGGACAGTAAACTGGGCTCAGTTAATAAGGTGCTGAAGGCCGGTTACAGAGCTAGTAGGGAGTTCAGCATCTTGCTCAAACTCACAATGATCCTCGGCTTCTGCAGTCTGTAATCTAATCACTTCTATCTATGTGCCTCTGTTACAAGAACAAGAGAAAACAATCAGGATGTCACATAGTTTTATTGTTTTCCTAATGAATAGGAAACTTAACAGATTTTGCAAACAAAGGCCCATTAACTAGTAAAGTGCTACTCACTGGGGTGTTGCTAAAGTGGGGACATGGGGTGGGGGTGGTTTCTTTTCCCCCTGGAATTTGATTGACATCCCCTCCCAGTTTCCCCCAGAATTGTTTTATCAAATCAGTGCAAGTGGGAAAAACTACAGGAGGGACGAGGAGGTCTGGATCCAGTGATCGGGTTCACTGCTTAAAGTACCACTCCCTAAACTCCATTACATTTCAGATGTCAGCCTAAAACTCTGTTCTACAACTGAGCAGAACAAAACATGCTTACAGTTGCAACCAGACTGCACTTTGTTGAATCTTGGCTGCTATGTTCTTATAGGTCAGCTGCATCTCCGAATGCATGGCTAAATTATGGAAACCGGTAATGTTTTTAAACCTCCGAAGGAGGAGGAGCAGGAATAGCTGACACCCGATGATGTTTTAGTGATGTTTATGGTTTTGTATGGTTTGGGGTTTTTAATAATCAGCATATAGGAAATGTAGTTCTCCTTTAATTGGCAAGTCTATAAAATAACTGAACATTAGGAGCGGCATGAGTTCACAAAGCTCTGCGGTCATCTTGCCTTTATCTTTTGTCAAGTTCAAATCCAAATATTTTCAGTTTCAGTGAGATAAGACTGAGAACAAATCAATTCTTCTAATGATCAACTACATTTTTGATGACTGTTTTCGAACTGAGAACATCAGCTCCAGTGAGGATGTAACCTGCTCCTCTTTACATGCACAGCTGTGTTCACTGCAGGAGAAAACCAACAGACCATATTATCACTGAGAGAATAGCAGCTTTCTCAAAGCCACAGGAGCGCTGATATGCAAGCAGCTTTAAAGGTGCAACACACTCCACCAACATTATAGCAAGCACACAGAGGACAGGGAGAGAGAGAGTCTGAAATGGTGTGTGAGCACTGAAAACACCAGCCAAATGTTCACATGATACAGTAGTGTTTTTAGATCAGTGGGGTCTATTCTCGGAGCTCTTTCATGTTATCTCCTGCTGCATAGAGTGTGTGTGTGAGTATTTGAAAGGAGGGATCTCCATTCTCACACTGCCACCTGCTGTGGCACCTCAACTCAAACCGTGCACAAGTCTCAACCTCTGGCCTGCACCAACGTTGAGTCCAAACGAGTCATCTTTCAACTTCCTCTGCAGCTATCACAACAAAAACGCGGGGTTTGTGTGGACTGTTCCACAGCTATTCCGCCTCACATCAAAATTCGAGTACAGCTCTCTGCCCTCAGTCACGCGTCATCTGGCGCACTTTCAGCACCATGCGCAGCATTTGACCTTGTCACCGGTTCTGCTGGAGTTTCACCAGCTCGTCCCAAACAGACAGGAACACAGACTTACCTAATGCAACCAGCCTGCGATAACCTCACATTCGAGCAGCACGGAGCTTTGTGGGGAACAGCGTTGACGCGTTCATTCGTCTGTTTTCTCTCGTCTCATTCAGCCGCGAAATTAGACCCTGTTCGTGCAGCTGGCACACATAGATGGGCTACTGACTGCAGGGTGGGGGTGGCAGGCGAAAGGGATTTCTGTGACTGGTCTAGATTTCGTCAAATAGCGGGCCAGGGTTTTTACAAATAAGCCACCAGATTATAATCCTTTTAAAACTACAACCAGAGCTTGATACTGGGTCAGAGAGAGAGAGGACACAGTTATCTAAGTATTCGTCCATGCATTTTGTCACCACAGTCTGTCTCACACTGTTGTGGACCAGCAGCCACCTACTCTTAACCATAAGAGTCTCATAAGAGTGTTAATTTATGCACTATTAATTGTATGCATCCTCCCAGGTCCCATGTATATCTTCTACATATACTGCAGCTGTCTGTGTTTAAAAGTAAACATGGCTCAAATCGTTGTAAAGACTTGGAAACAAATTAGATACACTATCAGTGAATATTTCGCAGGCATGTTCTGGATGAACATTTCGTGACTTTTTCATCGGGGAGTGCTGATAAGAAAATGCAACCCATATGGCATTATTTTCATTAAAAACACGGAGAGGTATTTATTGTTACAGAGTAGATGTTGCGAATCTGTAAGAAGTGAGAAATGTTTTAAGTAAATATTTTTTCAAAAAATAGCTTAAACCTGATATTTATGAGCGAAGTCCGGCGCAGAGATACGATTTCCCTTTCGGGATTAACTTGGTGATCGAGAAAGGAGGGTGTAATTTGAGAAATGTTTGCTTGAATTAGTGATGGTATATTCTGAAACTCACCAATAAATTAGAAGGAAATCATATTTATGGTTGGGTTTTTTTCTCACTTAATGTTGGATAAGAAATGTGCGCGCCTTCTGTGGATGCTTTACAGCACAGATGGTTTATTTTGTAACCCCGAATTCCATTTTTTATTCATGTTGCTGGTTTGTTATAAATAAAGTTACAGATGACAAACGAGGCTTTGCTTGATCCAGCTCTGTGCAGAGAGCTGGGACATGTGAGGAAACAGCTTCTACCCCCAGCTGCAGCATCATCATCAGTTATTCTTTCTTCTTTGGAGCTCCTTTCATCTCAAAGGGTCCAGCATCTGATTTATATATTGCGGGATTAGCAAAAGAAGGTAAAAAAGAAAAGAAAAAAAAGGGGGTAAATGTGTCATGTGGCCTGCTTCAAGGTTTTTCCACAAACTGTCTTTGAGTTTATGCCATTTAAAACATCAGCAGCAGGAGCGAGATGAGACCTGCAAAACAAAAACAGAAAGGTCCACCAGTATTCAGATATTTACTCAGTGAACTCACAGAAATATCTGGTGTGCTATTCACGGTGCATTTTCACAAATATGTGAACATGATGCAACTTATTTCTATTTGCCAACACTTATTAGTGTGACTATGCATGCATGTTTTATTTCACACGTTTGCTGTCCTCCTCCACACCAAACCCAACCTAACAGTGGGCGATCGTGTGTGAGGCAGAGCACATCTCTCCTCATCCACAACTGGATTCCCCTTAAATGTTCGTCCTGTGTGTTTCCTTCATTGGACGGGATGGAGAGTAACTCACTGACCCTGTTATGCAACCCTGGGTTTGTAAAATTCCTGATCATGGCTGAATCCCAGCTCAATTCAAAGTCTTATTACTATACTCAGTGCACAATACTACTTCTCAGATACCCTGCAGACACACACACAAACACACACACTGAGAAAAGCATAACCCTTCTTCTCATGAGCTCAACTGTGAGACACGTCCTGACCCACATAAGGAAAATTCCTCCAATTCCCTTGCGTAAGTTTCACATAATTTAAATCGCAGGAGATTAACCACTTGACTGTTTTTTTTTCTCAACAAGGTATGGGAGGATTATATCAAATAACCTTAGTTAGGATCAAACACTGCTGCTATATAGAGACTATACACTCTTACTTACTGTAGCTCAGACTGTCTATAATGAAGTAGTGGTTGAAGCACATCAAGCCACGTCAGGGAACTGTAAACAAATTATCTGGTGAGGTTTGAGCCACTGAGTCCCCATTTGGGCTGGACATGAACAGACATGTGGGAAATAGTGTCCAAGGATCCAGTGGTGTCTGCTGATGATCCCGTGTCTTTGTGGGTGGTTGCATAACCAGATTAGGGCAGTTAGTTTTAGGCTCTGGGGTCACTGGGGCCTGATTATGCTCTTTAGCTTTTTCAATCTGAATCTCCTGAAGCAGCTTCCCAAACACTGAGATTCCTGAATGTGCTGCTGTTCTGTGTGAAACTTTTAGGCCACATGGAAGAGATTCTCGGGAAAGGCCTAAAAAAAAGGCTTAACAAGTTCCTGAACAAGTCATAGATGATGGCGAATGTAGCTTTCCAGCTGCTGTTCTCAAGAGTGAGTGATTAAAATTGAAAAATGAAAGCTCTAGAAAAAATATAAACCATGACAGAAAAAACATTTGAGGAGTAAATACCAAGTTTAATAAAGGTTTTGAAATCAATGCATGAACAGAGTTCATTTAGTTGACTAAGATGTGCTACATGTCATGATTAAGCAGGATTGTGAGGCAAGCTTAAATACAACAATTGAAATGTTCAAAAATCAACTACTGGAGGTGGGAAAATATATTTTCTTACACCGACTGAGACGTTGGATAGATAAATAAAGGTTCTTGCAGTACCACCTAGTGGTGAATTATTTTCTTCTCAGGCTGGACAGAGGTATGCAAAAAGTAAAGTGGGTAAACGCTTCAGGGTAAACTCCATTATTAACCAATCAAAACACACACAAGACACTGCACAGCACACTCTCTGTGTTGTAAACTGGAGGTCATATATATCACTCAGTCTAAAAAATAAAGGACTTTTTCTTTGTAACTGAACTGAATTATTTTGTCAGTTTGCACTATGCATGTGCACATCCTGAATTAATCAGTGATAACTTCTCTTGTAAATGTAAAACTAGTTAGCCTAGAAAAATGAGAGCACATGAGTACTAGCTACACTCATGGCTCACTGGATATTTTTTGCGTTTTGTTGCAGTTTCAGCCAGTCTGGCGCCTTGGTCACTTAAACCAACTTTGTTCCTCAGCTTTAACTTCAACAGGTTGTTTTGATTATATCTTCATGTCTAAATGCATTGAGTTGCTGCCATGTGGCTGATTAGATATTTGTGTTAATGAGCAGCTGAACAGGTGTACCTATTGCACAATGATATAATTCACTCCCAAATTTCCCAACCTGCGCTCAGTGTACAAACATTCACTCGTGTGCAGACTGTTTCGATGGTTTTGGATCTATTCCCTGGGTCCTTGTGTTTATCTTCTGATTTCTGTTTACTTTGTTCTGGACTTTGTTATTTTATTGGACTTATTTCAGCATTAATGCTTGTTTTTTTCATCAATCATTCTATCTCTGGTGTCCTGCTTTTGGCTTCTCTTGTCCACATAATTGATGATAATTCCAGCTCTTCTTTTACTTTTTAAAATCTGTTTTTAAAACTGTGTTTTGTCACGTTGACCTCTGTGCATATTTGAATGAATGGTGCTGTAAAAATGACAATGTAGTTTCCCACTGTAAGCAAACACACTTCTAGAGAGAAGCAATCATCTTGAAAATAAACACTCTTATTCATTAGACTGTAGTAGTCCATGATAATTCACCACTACAGCACACTGTGGAGGTTATATTTCCAAACTGACATCTGAAGATTGTTCACTTTCAGAGTTACATTCAGATACTCTTGAACTCATCTACAGCATGAAGGCAAAACATGTCTGGATGGAGAAACAACCAGTGAACTTTTACATCCAGAGATTCTCTGCAGGTACATGAGGTCATGTGACCAGAGCCTGCTGGCTGTGCATCACACAGACTCCCCAAGAGCTCTCGCCCAGTGTGAAGTTAGTGACAAACTTGTGATGAATGTAAAACATCTAGCTGGTAAAGAAAAGTGTCCTTTTGAGACCAAAAAAAGAACTGAAAAAGAAACAGAGGAACAGAAACCAAAAAAAGAAAAGATTTGCTATGTAGATGTTTTTTAAACTTTTAAGCTGATTCTGAATTTCTTCCGTTAGTAGAAAAAAAAACAATTCAGCACTCGTGGTCCATCTTTACATAGAAATATAGCTCAGCGTACGCACTAATGCACTAATCAAGTATAACCAAACCCTCATTATTATTTTTTTTAGTGATGGGAAGCACAGAAAAATATGACTCTGCATGTATGCAAATCTTCATTTCTAGAAAAATAAATCAGTAGTGATGAACGAATGCTTGAAACTGAGCTACTTTCATCTGTAATAAGAACCTACTGCTTTGAATTAGTTGAAATGTGACCAACTGTGGTCTTTGCAGACCACAGAAAAACATTATACAGACACAAATCATTTTCATTCCATCATTTCTATCTATTTGTTCCTAATGACGTGACAATGCAGCTTTGTTGTGTGTTATTGCTTTTTAAAAATATAAATGTTTTGGGGTTGCAGGTGAATCGTGTCTGCAGTGGTGAAGAGAGAGCTCACTATGAAGCTGTCCATTTATAGGCTCATATATATTCTGACCCTCAGCTTTGGCGATGAGCTCTGGGTTGTGACTGAAAAATTAAATTGTTGATGTATGCAGACATGAGCTCATTGTCAAGAATGTCTAGGCTCTCCCTTACAGATAGAGATGTCTTCACATTGTTTGGGTATCCAACCAGAAGGCCTCCTGGACAGCCCTTAAATATGGGCAAGTTCTAGGAGGACTGAACCTGATAGGTTATCACACAAACATGTCATATATGTTTACTGGAGTTTGCATGTTCTCCCAGTGTTTGTGCTGGGATAGGCTCCCGCCTCCCCACGACCCTGAATTGGATAAGTGGAAGAGAACGGACGAATGGATATTATTTGGCTATTATAATTGCTCTTAACAGTAAATTATTCTTGGTGTACCCAAAGATCACAGGAAGTACATATGTGAAAAAATGTCAGTGGGATGATTAGTAGGAAAATTACTTTTAATAATAAAGGTTATAATTAATGAATCACAGAGCAGAAGAGATCTGGTTGATGAAGAGGTC